AAACAATGTTGATTAGATAGGCACTTAGGTCAGGGTCGTACTGTGGTGCTTGCACCTTCATCCACTTGTGCCATGAAGATAAATCTGTAGTTTACAGTCCTAGAGTAAGTATTGCTAGATATTTTTAAGATTGCATAGCTCTGCCCTTGAACTGTATTCATAAAGTGAAAGAGTTCTGGAGATCATCTGGTCCAGTGGTTTCCCAACATTTTTTCTGTAGCACAAGGACTTCAAATTCTTACTTGCAAGCCCAATAAACAAAACTAAGAAGAGGTGCTGCTCTGATGCAGTTCCTAGGCTCTCTTCCAGGTCTCTAAAATGTTTCCTTTGAGCCTCCATTTTAAAATTTCTGGTATTAGTCAACCCTCTAGTTTTACAAATTTAAGAAAAAAACATTTTGAACAAATACTATGTGTCCAGCACTGTACTAATAAGTTTGGGGAAATTGTGGTCTAAAATAGGAGTATGTTCTGGTTCCTGGTTTATTAGGGGAGACAGATGATTGCAACACAATGGTAAATCAGTGATACAAATGTACCTGTGATATTATGGAGTCATGGAATGGGGGGGGGCTCCCTAATTCACTCTGGGGGCACTGAGTTGAGACTGAGCCTGAGTCTCTAAGACTGAACAAATTATCCAGGAGGGCAGTTAATTTGGGAAGGTATGGAGGACAGTATAATTCAGACTGAAGAATGGAGTGGGTAAGTAGCTAAGGGCATATTCTGGAAGATACAAGTTGTTTTATGTAATAGTGCTGTGGGAATTGATGAAGAGGACATAAGCCTTGATTCTTTAGAAAATAGGGAGCCACTGAAGGCCTCAAGTGAGGTCAAGTTTACATTTTAAATTGCCAACAGGGACTATGAGTTTGATAAGAACAAGGGAGGATGGAAGATAAATTAGGAGAGTATAGCAGCGACAGAGAAGCTAAGAGTAAAAGTAAGTTTGGGGCAGGGGGTATGATGCATTCATTTTGAGGTTCTAGGTAGAGGTGTCCAGCATGACTGCATGGTATTTCTAGTCAGAAGACTTGATAGACTATGATCCTATATACAGAAAGGGACTGGAGAGATGCAGGAAAAAGTTAACCTTGCTTAATTCTTGATTTTTGGTTATTTTCTTAATCCTTTTCTATACTGAGCATATATTACTTTTATGACCAGGCAAAAGCATAGCTTAGTTTTAAAATTCTGTTAGCTTCCAAACTTTGCTATTTTCTTTAACCAGATTGGCACCACACTATATGGAATATCCTGCCACTAAAATTTGTATTTGGAAATGATACTATGTAGCCATTAAGATCATGCTTTTAAAAATAAGTATGCAAATATTTACCAGTCTTCTTACAACAAACTTCATGATTTGGTTTATTTAGTTGGGTCCTATGCAGATACAGTGATGGAAAAATCTCGAGAATAAACCAGAGTGTTCACAGCATGTCAACTGCTCTCTTGAATGGAGAAATCACAGGCAGTCCAAATGTTCTCTCAGTCACTAGTGATGGTAGAAAAAATGCGAAGCTGAAATCTAGCCCAGGGTCTCCTCAAAGTCTGACTCACAGGAGTGTGGTAAGAAGATACAGCCTTTTCTGACATTGCCTGGGAATGATGTCTTGCCTAAAAACAGTAAAGAAAAATTGGGTGGTGTTCATTTGAACTTTCTTCCTACAACAAATAGATCATAACCTGTTATTAGAATCTACCAAATTGAGGGCTGACCTTAATGGAACACACATACTCAAAAGCTGTCTTTGAGCATTTGCTACATTTAACTCACTAGAGCAAAAGAACCATCACTATAATATGCAATGAGTCATTTTTATTATGCTCAAAGCAATTTATAAACTTTATTATTACCAGCTTATTCTGGTTCATAAAAAACTCTGTAAGGTAATACACTGTGTTAACATGCCAACGGCATACATTTTTAGCAATTGGCTGCACTTCCCAATTACTAACAGAAGTAAATGGAATACGTGGGTAAGGAGAGTCTGATTCAAGTTTTCTAGAGAACAATTTTCTCCAGTACTGGTTCAATATACTAACTTCAGCTTTCAGATTATAGGTAGAGGTCGGTGTAAGTGTTGGAGTCTGCCGATTTCAAAAAAGGCAGGTAGAATTATTGTCAGGAAAACATGATGTAGACTTCACTAATGTCAAGATCTTTTTTTTAATGTTTTATTTTTGAGAGATAAGAGCGTGAGCAGGGGAAGGGTAGAGAGAGAGGGAGACACAGAATCCGAAGCAGGCTCCAGGCTCTGAGCTGTCAGTACAGATCCCAATGCGGAGCTCCAACTTGTGAACTGCAAGATCATTACCCGACCCGAAGTTGGACGTGTAACCAACTGAGCCACACAGGCACCCCTCACAGTCAAGGTTTAAAAACTTATCTGTCTGAATAGGTTCATTTCCTAATGGAGAGAAACGGACTAGTACACACAGTATAGATTTTGAGAAACATGCCAACTTTGAGATACTATCAGAAGACAAAAATCTGAAAACAATGTTTAAAAAAAATCACATTAGATTTTTATGTGGAATCTCCTGATATGTAACTGAGAAACTTTAGGGAATATGAAACTGAATACAGGAAATCAAGACTAAAATTATCGAAGAGTAAGTTCATTTCAAGTGGATGTCAAAGATGGACAATGTAACTTGAAATGATTAGTGTGGTGTTTCTCAGATGTGCCTGACCACAAGAATTACCATGGACTTCTTACGAGTGAAGTCTGAGGGGTGCCTGGGTGGCTCAGTCCATTGAGCATGACTCCTGGTTTTGGCTCAGGTCATGATCATGGGGTCATGGGATCAAGCCCTGAGTCAGGCTCTGCGCTGAGCATGGAGCCTGCTTGAGATTCTCTCTCTCATTTCTTCTGTCCCTCTCCCCTGCTCGTGCTCCCTCACTCTCTAAAATAAAATTAAAAACAAAACAAAACAAAGCAAGAGTCTGAGACCCATTTTCTTTCAATTATGGCTCAGTGTGTAGTAGGTTTGGTCTGATGTGTATTTTAAGTACTTCAAGTGGTTCTAATAATCAGCAAAGTTAGGGAAATAGAGTCTCAGGGGAAAACAGCAGCAAAAATACCACCACAGCTTCTATCTCCTTACTCTAAGACTACCCAGCAAACTACCTGAGAATGAGAAACACTCAACTGAAATTGAGGAATTGTCTATATAAGTTTATTTCAAGTCCAAAACACAAATTACTCAATTTTCTTAACAGACTGCATCATTTGTACTGCATGGATATTTAGGGTTCCTCTATTCACAAGTGCAGATTTATTTCTGAACTTCAGGCTCATACTTATATGTGTGTATGTGTGTGTGTGTATGTATATATACATACACACACACACACACACACACACATATATATATATTTATATGTTTACTACAGAGGACATGTATGTTAGCAAATTTTATAAAATATTTTACATAAAAAACACACAAAGCATTTACCAATATTCTTCAGTCTTTACAACCAGTCTTCAGCAAAGATTTGGCTGAAGATCATTATTTTCTATAAAACATCCCAAGACTGAATATAATAGAATGCAGTATTTTTCATACTTTAGCTTATTATTGCAATTTAAATTTCCCCTTTCTTTGACGGCTTCTGCATATGTTATATTCATAAAGTAGAATAAACCTCTTCTTTAACTTGGTGACTTTAATGGGCGACTTGTTAAGTTTTTGGTGTAACCAAGAACCTAAATAGTCTCAATGAAATCAAGGAACTGACATACGCAGAATATGCAGGGCTTTTCATAAGGGCTTTTTCAAATGAATAGAAGAATTTAGTACTTATCAGTGTAATACCCTTTATTATTTTGTGTTCAGTAACTATCACCCGGGTGCTATTACTTCTAGTATAGCCAGCATCAAAATATAAAGTCAAAATATGTACATTTTTATATATCAATTCTTACCTGAATAATCTCAGATCTCGAGAATGTTCCACAAAGTGGAATTTCTTCCTAAGGTTACAGTGAATGTGGTACAATGTGTACAAGTTGGTTAACCAGTGCCTGCTTTTCATTTCCAAGACTTTTCCTTATCTTGAATCAAATGCATAATCCTGACTACCATATCATAATGCACTGGGCTTACAGTTTATATATAAAGTCCAACTCAAGCTTATTTTGGTTTATTGTACATGCTTTATTAAAATGGTACTGGTATTTACAGTATCTGCAGAGTCCTTTCCAAGGCGCTCTCACACACATTCAGACACACCCATACAACATCCATACCACAGCCCCATGCACCCACACCAATGAGATGTGAGGGTCAGACTCCTAAAATTAGGCAGCTGTTGGGGGACAAAGTTGTTGATTTGATTTTCGATTTTTTTTTAAAAGAGAAAAAGCATGAGGGAATGCATTTGGCCATTACAATGCTAATTAAGTTTGTGTATATTAACATATGTGGCAGTAACACTGAATATTCCTTTTACATTCTATGTACACAGAATGACATCAAGGTTTTGCAGTCAACAGAATATTCCAACTTCAGTCTCAATGCTGCTTGTAATGACTTCTGAATTCACATAGGGGCTTTCCCTAAAAATAATTCAAGTCTATGTAAGTGAAATAAGGCACAATTAATATTGATTTGATCTAGGGGAAGGGAAGGGATAAAAACTAGTTTCAAATGATCTTACTATTGGGAATTAACTTTGACTTAGATCCACTTGAAATCCCTTCTCCTAATTTCCAAAGATTTCTTAGAAGTAAGGGTTTTTTCCTTTTTCCTGACAAAACCCAAAAAGAAAAGTTTGAGAATTCACATTTTAATGTTTCAATAATCTAAACTACTCAAATTGATGTGCACCCCCAACCTCTCCTGCCTAGGTCTCCTCCCTCAGAGCTGTAACAAAAACACAGCACATGAATCTCTCTTGCTGTTTTTGAGGAGATTTGTACACTTAAGTAGCAAATACATATCTGGTTGTCTTTGATTTAAAAAAAAAAAAAATAGGAGGGAGGGAGGGAAGGAGGGAGAGAGGGAATAGTAACCTTGTGACTTTCCTGCTCTTTAAAAAAGTCCCTGTTTCCTCCTTTTCAGGATGATGAAGCCCCACCAGACATTACAAACAACTGCAACAAATGAGGTTGGCAGCATAAATAATGTCTAGTATTCAAATCTTCAAAGTGAGACTCATTTAGCTTGTATACAATCTGTTGAATGTTTTTTGCAGCAGGTGAACCAAACCCAAAGACGCTGGACATTCTGTGAAAGGGAGTAAGAATTGCAGTTCTGAAGGCCCCTGACTTTGGTTGTTTACAAAGTTCAATCCTGTTTATTGTGATCCTTGGTATCTTCTTCATCTGTATATTCTGATGGTTCTTCTCCTGGTTTTAGGAGTCTGCCTACATAATCATATTTTTCTGAAAAATACATCAAAAGAAAATCAGTAGTGATCAAATTTGTTTTACTATTCCATTACACAGCAGGGAAGGTGTTCACCTCTTTTAAAATTATATCGAATAAGCTAAATTGATCCTATTGCTCACCTTGGCTGATCTTTGTATTCATGTAAGACTTGAACAAAAGAAAACAGGATTAGGGAATTTACAAAGCTTGGGGACTGTGCTTTACCAGGAAAAGTGTTCCATTCTACCAGCTCTTAACCAAGGACATTTCATCACAATCACTTAGAGATCATGCTAAGTAGATCCAACTAGAAAATATTCTTGGGAGAAAATGGGACATCTGCTAGTAGTCTCCAAGAAAATAAACCAAATGAGATGCAAAGTCATTTGTTACTCATTATCCTGTGTTCTTTGAGAACTCAGTGTGTGGCCCCAGTCATACCATTATTCTTTCTCCTAGCAAACTCTCTTCTTACATCTCTGTTAATATTCCTTGTTTTAGGTTACCAGTACTTAATTTAGAACACTATAATGTCCAAGGTGATACATATTTAGTCATTTTTTGGTCAGGAATTTGAACTAGGTTAAGTGAATTAACTGACAAACCAGAAGGAGAAGACAGGAGGACTACCTCATACAGTAGAACCAGTTCAAATGCCAAGAAGCCAGAACTGTTTCCAAGGGATGTATAGGTCACATAAATAGCTGTCTGGAGTGTCACAGCTGTCAAGAGGTATTAACTGATGCCATGAGGGTATAATAAAGGGGAATGACATTTTTTCTTTATAGTTTTGAGAGTAAGATCAGTAAAATCATTTTAGAATAAATTATAGTATCAATATCCATAATGAATTCAGTTTTAAATAGAAGCCTATATTTAAAAATACTATGTCTTACTTAAAAAGCCTTATAAGACTAAAGGTGTCACAATTTGTTAGACTTACAGTTGGTAACAAGTCAATTTTTAAAAATGGATTTTTAACTAATATGTAACAACCATTTTCAAATTTTGCTATTTTTATCATCAAATAATGATGGTGGTGAAAATATATCCTTAGATTTCTTAAAGAAGTGAAATAGTATATACTTTCTTTGGCCATAAATTTAATATTTCCAAAGAACCCAAGAAAATGAAGGTACCTTTAAACTGCATTTCCCATTCTCGAACACTCTCCATTTGTACAGCATTCAAGTCTGAGAGATCATCATATTCATCTTTAAGTGCATCTTTATCTAGGCAAAATGTCGCCAGTCCTCTGGAGGCATCCCTACCAGCAAATATTCCATATGGACCAGCTGGGGGAAAAAAAGAAATTATTGACATCATCTTAACAATATTTTGTTTATTATTATTATTTTTTTAATGTTTGTTTATTTTTGAGAGAGAGAGAGAGAAAGCATGAGCTGGGTAGGGCCAGAGAGAGGGAGAGCTAGGTAGGGCCAGAGAGAGAGGGAGAGCTGGGTAGGGCCAGAGAGAGAGGGAGACAGAGGATCTGAAGCAGGCTCTGAGCTGACAGCAGAGAGCCTGCTGCAGGGCTCAAACTCACGAATTGTGAGATCATGATCTGAGCCGCAGTCGGGCACTTAACCAACTGAGCCACCTAGGCGCCCCAACCTTAACAATATTTTAGAATGTCTCAAAGGAAAAGGTCAAATAAAAGAAACCTCATAATGACTCATATTTGGTACACAGCCTTAACTTCAAAACATGCACAGATAGATACTAGACAATGAGAAGAAACTTCTTGGAGATCTACCTTTAGAACAAAATAAAGTTTTTCATTGAAAATTTAAAACTTAAATTTCAGATACCTCAAAACTTGTATTCAAAGTTGAAGACTACAAGGTATTAGGGAGAAGAGGAAACTTAAGCAATTAGGTTTGGAAACTGGTTTGTTTGAGGGGAGATAATGCTTTATTGATTTCTGTTAATTAATTGTGGCATCTAAAAATAAAACAGAATATCCACTAGATAAGTACTTGGTAAAGACCCAAGTGAATTGTGGATCTAAAACATTTTCTTCCTCTAATCCAAAGTAGGTTGTATGAGAGCAGAGACTGTACCATCTTTGCACCTCCAGTGACTAGCTCAGTGCACAACACACGTAGATGTTCAACATATCTTTGCTGAATGTTTTACCAGAAATATGGCCCATTTTCAAAATAAATATCACCAGACTACCAGAATATATTCACAATTACCTATATAAACTATGAAAAGTCATTAAACAATGGTTGTCATTTGTCAAGGCTCTTGGGAAACGGGAGACATGGCTATAGGAACAGTTCCTCTGACATAAAATGATTAGCATTTTGTCCAGGGAATTAAGAACCACTTCCCTAGAAAGGAATGGCATGATTTATATGCTGACAGCAGTGAGCCATTCCCAAAGTCTGTGCTTGAGAGTGGCAACTGTATTACTCATCTCAGTATCCTCAATGCCTAGCACAGTGCCTGGCATAAAGTAGAAACGAAAGTTTCTTCCAAAATATTAGCTGCAATTCCAAATAAGGATTAACTAGATTTTGATCCTTTACTTTAAACAGATTCATTTATGGTAAGCAAAATCTCCGCTCAAATTTATGACAAAAAAGACACTTGTTATTTAAAACAAATAAACAAAACCAAAACAACCTAATTTTCCATATCAAGAAATTGGTTAAATTACAGTACATTAATTTAATGGAATAATAGTACATAACTATCAAAAAGAAGGAGATATCTCTATATGTACAGACACACACAGAAGTCCATGATAGAGTAACTAAAAACAGCAATTCAGAAGAGTATGTGTGTGTGTGTATATGTATATATATAGCATGATTTGCTTTGAATTAAAAAAAGAATACACATGTATGCACATTCTACATGTGTTTGTATATGCATGAAAAACACCAGTTAGAATACAGACCAAACACTTAACAGTGGCAACCTTTTCTGGGGAATGGAGGAAAAAATTTTACTTCATGTAACTGGTAGTCTGGCTATTTAAAAAATTATTATTATTTTAATTGAAGTACAGTTGACACACAATATTATATTAGTTTCAGGTGTATAGCATAGTGATTTGACAAGTCTATATATTATGCTGTGCTCACCACAAGTACAGCTACCATCTGTCACCATATGACACTGCTACAATACTACTGACTATATTCCCTATGATGTACCTTTCATCCCTGTGATGAATTCATTCCATAACTGGAAGCATGTATCTGTCACCCCACTTTACGAATTTTGGCAATCTTCTCAACCCCCTCCCCTATGTCAACCATTAGTTTGTTCTCTGAACTTAATGGGTCTTTTTCTGATTTTGGTTATATATTTGTTAAAAAATTCTTTTTATAATAAAAATCTCTCTCTCTCCCCTCTGCCCCTCTCCCCCACTCATGCTCTCTAAAATAAAATCAGTAAACTAAATTAAATTAAGTAAAAATTTAAATGCTAATAGGTGGTACCTGGCTGGCTCAGCCATAAGAATATGTGACTTTGAGCCCCATGTTAGGTGTAGAGGTTACTTAAATATTTTTTTTAAAAATCAAGTGCTAATAAATAAGATTTCTAAAATTCCTAAGTTTACAATAGAAAAAAATTTTCTTTCCTGAGGCTATAGTTATCCATACATGACAAAGGTAATTTAGAGAAAATAATTTTAAAACCAGAATTACTAGCTTAACTATTATGAGCAACAGAGTGGTCAGTTAGAGAGCTTACTGTTCAGTTAACAAAACAAAATCTTTTCTAATGAGAAGTAAACTAGAAGAAAAACCTGGAAATTTCTTGCTTTTTAAATAAACAGAGTAATGATTATACCCATATTCATATTTGAAAGCATTTAGGAAATTGAAGATTATGTGTCAGAAAGTATCTGTACATTTGAGAGAATTCAAAAATCTACTCAAATAGACAAAAATCTAAAAACTTATGAAAATTAATTTGAATTATAGAAAGCGTTGCACTATAAAGTTCACTGAGTATAAGAAACATACTCTGAAAAGTTCATGGCATGGAACCAGAAGTGGCATTCGCAATAGGTACAGATACATTAACATGAAAATTAAGATAATCCTTCCAGTAAAGCACTTTCTTATTCTATTTTCCTGTTCCTAAGTATTCTCCATATTGCTACTTAATATTAGGTGACATTCACAATTACCATTTAATTGTTATATATTTTCTTACTGAATGGATATACCTAAAATTTAATCATTTTCCTATTAGCATACACTTAGACTACCAATTTATACTTTTAAATTTGTGTTCTATATAAGAAAATGAAACACTTTTTACAATGGGTCAACATTAATAACCTTCAAATTATTGCCCACTATTTCACTTGTCACTGAAAAGGGTATTAACCATTTAAGAGAAAGAAATTCAGTATTATTTCTATTTACACAGTAAAATCCAAATTTCCTTAAATTGGAATTATTTCTTAAAAAAAATTTTTTTTTAACATTTATTTATTTTTGAGACAGAGAGAGACAGAGCATGAACGGGGGAGGGTCAGAGAGAGAGGGAGATACAGAATCTGAAACAGGCTCCAGGCTCTGAGCAGTCAGCCCAGAGCCCGACGCGGGGCTCACACTCACGGACCACAAGATCAAGGCCTGAGCCCGAAGTCGGACGCCTAACCGACTGAGCCACCCAGGCGCCCCTGGAATTATTTATTTTAGAGTAATGTGAACTTTTAAAATTAAGCAAGAACAGGGGAGCCTGGGTGGCTCAGTTGGTTAAGTGTCCGACTTTGGCTCGGGTCATGATCTCAGGGTTCGTGAGTTTGAGCCCTGAGTCGGGCTCTATGCTGACAGCTCCGAGACTGGAGCTTCAGATTCTGTCTCCCTTTCTCTCTGCCTCATCCTCGCTCGCACTCTGCCTCTCTCTCTCAAAAATAAGTAGACATTAGGGGCACCTGAGTTGGCTCAACTGGTTAAGTGTCTGACTTCAGTTAAGGTCATGACCTCATGGTTCCTGAGTTTGAGCCCCATGTCAGACTCTGTGCTGACAGCTCAGAACCTGGAGCCTGCTTTGGAATCTGTGACGCCCCCTGTCTGTCTGCCCCTCCCCTATTCACACTCTCTGTCTCTCAAAAAATAAATAAATGTTAAAAAATTCTTTTTAAATAAACAATAATAAAAAATAATAAAAAAATAAAATTAAGCAAGAATAGTCCCTAGGAAAAAGAAAAGTAGCCCTCATCTTAAAGCAGTTGTGTGGGTTTATTTTTTTTGCATAACTCCACATGCTTTTTGGCACTAGCTGCTTCTCTGGAGATGGAGGCGATAGAGAGAGAGATAGAACCAATGTGATTTTTTTTTCTTGAGGAACGACAATGATGACAAAGTAATCTATAAACATTATATATCCCCTTAATGCTGACAAACTTAAAACAGCGACGAGTCACACACAAAAGAAAAAGTAAAGCTGATCAAGGCTGTAAAGAACTACAAATGTAAAATGATAGTCAACCATTTAAAGAATTTTCTAGCACGTGACTTTACTCTCATAGTCTTGCAAAGTAAAAGGAACAATTTTTGCCCTCCTCACTTGGCAGATGAACAGAAGCAGAGGCATTCAGTGACTTGCTTAAAATTACCAGCAGACTTAGGAAGTACTATTTCCACTTTTCTTTAAAAAATTTTTTTTAATGTTTTATTTATTTTTGAGAGAGAGAAAGAGAAACAGCGCCAGCAGGGGAGGGACAGAGAGAGAGGAAGACACAGAATCTGAAGAAAGGCTCCAAGCTCTGAACTAGCTGTCAGCATAGAGCCTGACACAGGGCTCGAACTCCCGAACCGTGAGCCGAAGTAGGAAGCTTAACCGACTGAGCCACCCAAGTGCCCCATCTGCTTTTCTAACTACTCCAAATATAGTCCACCTTCAGAAAACACAGAGGATCCACAAACCCAAAGGTGGAGTGACACCTGAAAATTGGAGCATTTCCATTAATTACAAAATTTCAGGGGAATAGATATTTTAGAACACCTATTAAATCAAAAGAAAAGAGAATTAACAAGAAAGCTATATACATCAACACCTTTTCTTATCATTTTGTTGTAATATTTATCTTCCTGGCCTGCAAAAGTCAATCTACTTCAAAGTACTTAAGAGTATAAACCATAAAACTTATCTGAATTATAAGAAGATGATCATTATAAAAACAAAAAATCTTCCATCTCTGAGTATATTAATATATACCAATGCATTCTCTTATAAAATTCTCTGCCAACTTTTCTAAGGAGACCTCAATGCTAAATTAATGTAAAAACAAAACTTCATAAAACACGTTCTTTTT